AACTAAAACAATGTATTCAAAATTGGAAAAGGAAAGCAGTGAAAACCATGGCTTGACCAAAACCCTTGGGCACTTAAGTACTTTGGGGAATTAGCACATAACATTTTGTGGAAATGAGTTAAACATAAATCCAACTAGTTCAGATTCCTCAAGATCCCAATGAGTGGTGTTTTCAGTGAACTGACTAGAGACCTTCATACTCTTTGCTGGCAGGACACCTGGGCACAGAGATTTGGGTGGAATTTTAACTGTTTATGCCTGAAGTCTGGCAGGCAGACTCCCTGTGGATTTCCCTGTATTCAAAAACGTTTTTTTAAAGAGCTAGATTAAAACACCTTTGGAAATTTTAAAATATTAATTAATAAATCCTCTATTCTTCATGTTGCTTCAGGCAGTTCCATGTAAATTGTCTGTGTGCAAGCATCACTTGCCAGGGCATAATCAGTATACAGGACCTCTTCTAGTTATTGTTGAGCACCCTCTCCTGGCTCTCTACTGTTTGCACATAAGTTATCTCATGAATTGAGTGCTCCGGGATAAACTGCAGTGCCCAGTTGATTTTAGGAGAATGCCTTTTCAAATGATATGAGTAGCTGCTCTCCGTTAAGCTACCAACTTTTTAACAGTCCAGCTGGTTTACAGTGGAGAAATTTTCCTATTGAAATGATAAAATTCCTCCATAAGGATTTTTTCTTTCCTCTTAACCCTGCTTCTAATTGATCCCAGAAAAGCACTTATGGGCTAGAGAATACAATGCATCAGGCACAATCTGATAAAGGGATTATGCCCAGTTGGTAAAAGGTTGTTTATTGTGTGACTGAGCCTGCCTTCACATCTCTCAATGGATCTTATCTTTCTGTTAACGCTCAGGAAGCCTAAGGCTGAGTCTAGGGATGAATTGGTATGTCATAAAGCAAGTTTATTTCAGGGATTACAGCAATAAGCAGCAGCTACAATGAAAACAGAAGATGAAGTTGGGGATTACCATGCAGTTAAGAATTACAAAGTGAGAAATAGTCCTCTGATTTTTGGATGTCATAATAAATAAAATATGAAAGTTTTCTAGCACTATGTGACTGTGTGTTTGCTGTGACTAATGCAGTGCAAAATTCTGTGCACAAATTATAGCAGGAAGGACAAAAATCTTCACTCCCTATTGCTCTCCTGTTATTCCACAGTCATGAAGCCAGGCAGCATTACTGCTAAATTTCACAGTTCCCAGGTGCTTAGTCTGGATCCATCCAGTAGCTTCAGGTATCTAATGAAGGCATTACATTAGGTCTTGACCATCATCATCTTTGTAGTTTGTAGGACTTAAGCTTCCCTAAAGAGCCAGGTTCATGCTTTGGAGTGATTTCCCTCTGCTGATTACAGCATAAACCTAAAGAGATGAAGTTCTTAATTTTGGTCCCTGGTGGTAGGTGGGGGCTCTGCTGCTCTTATCAGCCCATGTCCCTGATGGCTTCAGAGATATTTTCTCTTGGTGCATACTGTACCTTAAGGCAATCACTGCACCGTGTACAGAGTCCAAGAAACAGTCTCTACCCAAAGGTGCTAACAAGAGCTTCAAAACAGCATCATAGCCAGTTCCCAGAATGCTGACAATTTTAAACATGCAATTTAAGTGCTTCCAGGCTGTCTTAAATTTGTAACATTGCCCAAGGTCTCAAAGATATTTGTTCTAATTATCATGTTAAATAAAACACTGATTTAGCAAGGAGTTCCTAACAGCAGTTCCTCTCATCTTACTCTCAGGCACTGCTCTTGCTCAAGCCAAGGCTTTCTCAGAGAAAGGATATTTTTGAGCACTGGGTACATTGTCACAGAGCATGCACCAAACCATAGCTAATTTACAGTAGCCAAGGATTAAACTACATCACTTTTTTATTGCACTGTCCTCTGTGGGTTTGTGTTCTTAGACAGTGAGTATAACCCTGGCTTTTATGGAGAAAAGCCGTCATCCTCTCCTAGATGTTATCATGGGACTGTTTGGTGTAAGTAATGATATCCTATTCAGCTCTTTGATTTCAGCCTTCTAGCCAGCTTTCATTTTGGATTACCCTCAATTAGAAGGTACTTTGAAATTTTCTGCTATTTAATTGGAGAATGGGAATAAAGAACCAGCTAGAAACAAAGAGAATACAGAAGTATTTTCAGGTCATTTTGAAATCAGAGCAGCAGTGTTACTGAATTTGAGTGGATGTGAGCAGGGGCTTTTTCAATTTATGTGTGACTTTGATAGAAGCACAGAGACCGAAGTCTTATGGTTTTTAAGTCAAGTGCCTCAAAGAATAAATTGACTGCAGCTGAGATCTGAAGCAAAATACTTTGTTTATTTCCTTTGTATGTGTGAGAGTACACCTTTTAAACTGCCACAGAAACTCCCTAATTTGCAATAATGAGATTAACTGGAAGAGAAAGAGCAGCAGAAGAAGAGACATCATATCATGAAGTAGTCATATTTATTTATTCCATGCTTAAAACAATTATCCTGGCTTTCTTTTGTCTGCTTCCTAAATCACTGGGCCAGAGTTTCATCAAAAATAAATGCAAGTAGTTTTACTGATTGCAGCGGACTGCATTCACCAGAATATCCCTGTTTCATGCCAGCTCAACTAAGCGAAGAATTCATAATATGTGACCTCCCTGTAGATGTAGCTTTGCTAGATGTTTGCACTTGATTATCATTTTAGTCAAGTAATAGAAGCATAGGGAGGCCACAACAAGCATGGAACAAAGATGGCTAGATGAGAGGCTTTTGGGGTGAAGGTCATGGTGGAACAGGTTGCTTGCTGCTGATGGTATTTATGACTGTGTGATTTTATTATAATTTTACTTTTTGTCTGGGCTACAACATTGTTGGCCAGGGCTCCCTGTGTACACACATACCATCCAGTACAAGTAGCGTGGCTCCTGCTCCTGTCAGAACTGTCTAGGTTCATGTTGTGATGTATGTTTAAACCATTTCTAGTACTAGCCTTAGTCAGCAGTGATGCACAGTTTTTGCCTGCACTAGGCTTTCAAGCAGGCCTAGGAGCTTTGTTACTTGCACCAAGTCTACTGCCCTGTGTCTTTCCCATCCCTGTTATCTGGGCTGGATAGACTAATAGGCTTGTATGGGGTGGAATTGTATTTTCTCTTTTTGCCTAACAGAGTGCACCAGTACCTGCTACAGGCAGAGAGCAGTTGCAGAGCGAGAAAGGAGCATGTTCCGATACACCTGCAATCATTTGCAATATCATGCTGAGGAGCAAGGCTTTCCCACTTCCTACAGCTAGACCCTCATCTGAAGTAACTTGACAATACACCACAGAGTCAACGGAACACAGCCAAACTGCAGCAGCCAAGAGCTGGGCCCTGCATCTTCAAGTGAATTTGCTCGGCTAATTGCATGCAATTCCTGCTCAACCAACCTGGTCTCCTTCTACGGTAAGGTGACCTGCCTGGTTTATGAGGGAAAGACTGTGGACACTGTCTATTTGGACATAAGTAAAGCATTTGACAGTCTCCCACAGCATTCTCTTCGAGGAATTGCTCATGGCCTGGATAGGTGTATTCTTCACTGGGTTAAAAACTGGCTGGATGGCCAAGCCCAAAGAGTGGTGGTAAATGGTGTCACATCCAGTTGGTGACTGGTCACTAATGGTGTCGCTCAAGGCTCAGTGTTAGGGCTAGTGTTGTTTAATATCTTCATTGATGATCTCGGTGAAGGGATCAAAAGCACCCTCAGTAAATCTGCAGACACCACCAAGTTGTGTAGTTCTGATCTGCTGGAGAGTAGGAAGGCTCTGCAGAGGGATCTGGACAGGCTGGATCACTTGGCTGTGGCCAACGGCATGTTGTTCAACAAGCCAAAGTGCTGGGTCCTGCACTTGGGCCACAACAACCCCATGCAACGATACAGGCTTGGGGAAAGCTGCCTGGCTGAAAAGGACCTGGAAGTGCCGACTGACAGAGCTTATGCCCAGGCAGCCAAGAAGTCCAACAGCATCCTGACCTGTATCAGCAACAGAGTGGCCAGCAGCACCAGGGCAGTGATCATTCCCCTGTACTTGGCACTGGTGAGGCTGTACCTCGAATCCTGTGTTCCATTCTGAGCCCTTCACAACATGAGAGACATTGAGGTGTTGGAGCAGGTCCAACAAGGACAACAAAGCTGGTGAAGGGTCTGGAGCACACGTGTGACGAGGAACGGCTGAAGGAACTGGGGTTGTTTAGTCTGGAGAAGGTTCAGGGGGGACTTTATTGCTTTCTAAAACTACCTGAAAGGAGGTAGTAGTGAGGTGAGGGTTGGTCTCTTCTCCCAGGTAACAAACCATAGGACAAGAGGTAACAACCTCAAGCTGTGTCAGGGGAGGTTTAGACTGGATATTAGGAAAAATTTCTTTACAGCAAGGATGATCAGGCATTGGGACAGACTGCCCAGGGAAGTGGAGGAATCAATGTCTCTAGAAGTGTTCAAAATCATGCAGGTGAGGCCCTCAGTAATATGATTTACTGGTTATCTTGGCAGTCCTGGGGTAACGGTTGGACTTGGTGATCTTAAAGGTCTTTTCCAACCTAGCTGATTCTATGATTCTAAGTGCTTCTTCCAAGCACCTGTAAATTGTTGAGTTTAATAGGGTGGCAGCTGCTGCCTGCTCCCTAGGTTCTTGCTGCCTTGGAAGTAGTTGGGAGATAAGAGCAGCAGCTTGCAGCGTAATTATCTTTTTCTCCATTTCCCTCAATTTCATTGTCATCTTCTTCTCTCTTAAGAGTGCTTAAAAGCATTTTGTTGCTCCTTATAACACCCACAGGAGCTGTTGTGAAGTGCACTTTTTGTGCTTAAGGTTTTAAAGCCTAAAATCTCTGACTTTAAGATTGTTGGAGAGTGGTTTAGTTTGAAGTCTGCTGCCACACAGACACCTGCAAAACACTGAACTTAAGCTGGCACAGCTGAAGGGAGGGATGGCTTATAATAATGGGTGATTAGATTACCGTGTTTCAGTGCCCTTCTCCTCCTGCAGGAATAAGTTTGTTGCTGACTTAGTGGGAAGTAGATGCCTCAATATTTGGATAGATCTGATCTTTGGATTTGGAAGCTTGATGCCCATAGTGGGACAATCGCTTTAGCAAACCACAGTAGAAGGGACATAGAGTCATTAGCAATGAATGAGAGAGATTTTATTTGTGCAAGTTGATAAAATCAGGGCAAAATCAGAGCTTTCTGTGTGAGTTTCTGTAAATAAGCTGCCTGTATAGTGGAGTGAATTTGGCACATCTGGCCGTAGGATTTATGTGGCTTTTGTAGCCCTCAGTCCGGAGATAGCAGAGGGGGCTGAAGCTCTTATTGCAGATACCTCCATCAATTCTTGAATTATCTTGGCAGAGGTCTTTGCTGTGATTCATTGCAGACAACGAGGAAGGACTCTGGCAGGTGATGTATTGCTCTAAAGCCCAGCTAGGCTTGTCACAACCCTTTCACTGCTCCTGAAGTAGGTAAGGATTGTTGACTCTGCTGTTGTGAAGGTTGAGTGCAGAAAACTCAGCTACTTCAGTTAAGAGTTAGGATGCTATGGACTTTCTAGTCTGTCTGTTTTTTGCAGGATAGAAAGCTGTGTGTGTATCTGGAGTCTTCCAGCAAGCATTGCCTTCACATGTAGCTTTGTGCTGCCATGCCTGTTCTGCCAAGGTTGTCAGGCATGTGTTGGCCCACACATTTCCTTGTGTTGCAACTGCATCTGGGTGTGTGACCTAGACAGAAAAGGAGTATGGGGAGATCCCTTGGTATAGGAGCACAGCCTGTAGTCTTTAGAAAAATGAGTTTTTGTGTTAATATGCTGTTGGTACCAGAGAAACTCCTGACCTGCAGCAGTCAGAGCTATCCTCAGCTAGGGAGTATTTGAGAAAGGCCACCTGTCTGTAACACAGTGGGTAGGTTGCCCCCCTGGCAGGGAATGGTGAAGCCTGTATGCCAGGCCCTGCTTGCCAGTACCATCAACATTTTAAATTCAGCAGGTGAAACAGAGAAAGTACGATAGATCTCATTCCCTGGTCTAACCCCAAAATAAGATGGCAACCAAAGGAAATATCCAGTTGAGCTTTTGAAAACCTGGCCATTGGTTTTGGAATTTGATTTATTTTTTATCCTCACTTTGTTTATGCTTTGGTTTTACTTTGCTTTTGTTTATACTTCATTTGTACTTGCCTAGTAACCAGAGTTTTCCTCTCTGTTCCTGACCACAGATTGCCTCTCTTTGGCTTCAAAGTTTAACTGGTATGTTAATAAAAGGACAAGGCCTGCCATTATTAATAGTCACATGAAAACATGAGAACATTCAGTTATAGCTGTCCTCAGGAGAGAATAGTTTCCCAAATATCTTAACAGAAAGAAAGATAAGGGACAATTTGTCTTTCTCTCCTACCACTGTTTGGATCAGCTAAACTCTGTTTGGTTATTTACAGATATCTGGGCAGACAGGTTAGGGGCTAGCTATTACCTGCCTGGACCGAGCTTTTGGTTGGTGTAAATCCAAGAAAGCCAACTTGTCTCCACTGCACATACGGCCCCATTGCTGTCCCTCTCTTTTTGACTTCAAATTTGGAGAAGGCTATGGCATCAATTAGCCAAAGGGGAGGGCAGGTGATTAAAGCAGACCCAGGAGACACGAGTTGTTTAGGCATAGGCAAACAGCAATTGGTGAGGAATATTGTTATCCACAGAGAGTCTGGGGATGGATTGGCAGTGAAAGAGTGAGGGGGGAAACAAAAACTAGTGAAGCTATTAGAAAAAGTTTGGCTTTTGCTGAAACTTAAAGTGGCACTCCACTGGGAGCTCTTCTAACCCAGGGGCCGTTTGCTGTTTGAGATCATTAATAGCCAGCTCCATTTCCTCCAGTGTGATTGGCTGAGCCAATATATTCCTATTAATTTGTCTGAGCTTGGAGACAGAAAGGAAATACAAAAAACGATTCAAGCTGCTTGGTACCTTCTGGGATCTCAGGCATATACAGGTCTTGAGAAATTCTAACAAATTCAGGCTTGGGGATACATTTTCTAAGCGGTTCACAGGGGTTTAGCAGCATGTTAATGGACAGTGTTCAAGTAAAATGTTGCAGAACAGTTTCAGCGTAAACTTTGTGGTGTCTAGTTCTGGTTTTTAGTGGGAGTGATACTATCTCCAGGAATAATCTAGGCTTTCAGAGAGGCTGATATTCTTCCCAACTTTCAAAGTGTAAATAAAATTGGTTTGGATATTTATAGCCCAGATCAGCAGCTGCTGTAAGATATATACCCCAAATAATAGTAGTGAGATCTATGGAAATGCCTCTGGGCTATAGCCCTTGAGTAGCTGCTCCAGCCTCCTTCCTCCTCCTGTGTTTCACTGAGTAATTAGAAGCCCTTGTCCATTGACTAAGTTCTTTTCTTTTCCTGAGATGATTTAAACTACCCTACAAAACAAGCAAGTGAATTAACAGAGCAGGAAAGTGAAAAATGACCCTTCTGTTTTCTGAATCATTCTGAGATTTGACATCCGAGTCTTGCTGCTCCCTAGAACTAAGTCAGAATTCTGAACTGCTAAGTGAAAACAACAAAAAAAATTTCCTCACTTTACATGTCTCTACGTTTAACCCGGAATTCTGTGCTAGTTACAGTAATGTCCCTGTTTATATCCGCACAGCCCTTAGCACACCATCCTAAAAGTAATTTGTAGGTATTGTTCATTCAGGTGCCTTCATGCTTGGCTATGGAAGTGTAGAAACCCCCAAAACAGTTCCTGCCCAGAGAGCTGCTCTCCGTGTTTAAGATGGTAGACAAGGAGTAGATTCAGGTGCAGACACATGAACAGCCAAAAGAGAAGTAATACCAGGAGGCACAGGGCACAGCAGCCTCAGCACATGGGCTACTTCACTGTTACCAATGATGTCCTGAAATGATGCATGTGTGAGACACCAGTGGGTCAAGATAGAAAACAATTCAAACATGGGTGATAGAGCATTTATACTGCATGTAAAAGAGCAGGTATACAGGGTTTAGTTGTCTGCCATGAGAAACTAGCTTCAGGAAGGACAATGCTTCACTAATAGAAGAGAGTGGCATAGTTTGTGTGTGTATGTGTGATTCAGTTAATCAGCAAAGAGTGCAACAATTTTCCTTAATGTGAAACATGTACCTTGATCAGCAAATTATCTGCTTGCACATTAAATTATGCACTGTGATCTCTGAGATGTATTAAATATTGAAATCAGAAATTTTATCATTAATGAAACCTAATGAACAATGTCATTATGCACCTCAGTTGACTTTTGTCAGAAGCAACCCATTGTAATTGGAAGGTGACTTTTCTGAGTCTCTGGTGGTAATATGCCAATTATTTCAGTTATCAATGCCCCTGGAGGCTCCATATGTCTACCATGGATGTTTTGCCTCAGACAGTTTCTAGAGTAGGGTTTTTCAGTATGTAGATAAAAGCCAATCTGAATGGACTGGAGGAAAGAGACCATTTTTTTTTACCATGCAGTTTTGTAGCTAAAGGCATTCTAGCAGCTTCTGTATTTCACCTTCTTTCATCCTGTGAGGTGGCTTTTAGGATGTTCAGTTTCTTTGGACTTTGGGTAATAAAAGCACAAGGTGATGCTTTCACTTACAGTTGATGTGTAGGCGTCTAAATTAGAATATATACATATGCAGTGCAAAAAGTGCCTGAGAATGACTCTAGGTAATTCCATCTTTGAAATGTTTATTATTGGGATTATTAAGCCACTCAAGATCAAGGTCCTATTATAGCTGTCTGCCTCTCCTGTCCTTGCTGTACAGTTTAAAGAGAGGGGTAGGAAAGTGGTATGACTTTTTCAAGGTCACTCAACTTACCAGTGGCAGACCAGGAGCTAAATGGGAATCTTCTGCTCTTTGGTTTACATTGCAGTACAGGTGACGGATTGCAGAGCACATATATTTATGTCTGAGTTAGCTTTTAACTAGCAGTATGGGTTTCATCTACTATAAACAGTGTCTGTGTGGGCTTGTTGAAGCCCAAGTCACTGCTATGCCTACCTATACTGTCTTTTCAAAGTGTCCATATGATCCCCGTTTGCACCATGAAGCACAGAACAAATAAAGCTGGAGGCTTTGCAAAATGCTCTCACTGATGAACTAACCTGCTTGCTTTTCTTTGCTCAAGTGGATAAGTTGAAGCCAGATTTGGATGCAAGTGTAATTATTCACCCAACGTGGCAGACGTCACAGGCTCACAGCTTGATGGACAACAAGCTCCAATTTCTGGTCTCTGTTCCTCAGCTTGGGGTATTGGCTGCATAGCTGGTTCTCTCCCAGGTGCAGTTTGATTAGGAATGAGTGGAGCTGCGTCTCTTGCCCTTTTCTGCTTGGACCTGTGGGGCTAGGAAGATGATGGATTCATTGCGTTGTAACCATCAGTGTCAGCTATCAGGTGCTGGCATAGCTGATATGTGCCTGTTGGGTGCAGCTGGGTACTGCCTTCCCTGGGAGGCTGTATTCATGCACTGACTATGCTTACAAACAAAGTCTAGCCTGCTGCTGGATGAGACCATTTACAGGATTTAGATATGTCTTGCTTTTATACCTTTCTCCATTGCTGCACACTATTAGACTTCCTTGTCTTTCACAAAGGTTCTAAATTGCTACAGGAAACGGTACTGTTTTCTGCAGGTTTAACTATTGCATTCCTTAAGGCTTGTTTTTTTTTTCAGTGCTACACTTTACTGCCTGTTAAGTTAACTGGATTTTTATCTGCTCTGCCTCTGACTGTCTTCTGCAAAAGCCTGTAGTAAGCCACAGTTTGCCCAGAGGAATATTCCAGGAGAGAAAAGGAAGAATTCAGCAACAATAATAATGCAGCCATGGCAATACTATTGCAAAATAACACTACAAAAACATTTAGTCACGAAAGAGTGGTTCCCCTGCCAGGTATCTACTTACAGTACAAAAGAAATAGCTCCCCAGGGACTTGCTACTGCTTGGAAGAGATTGCAGGTCTAGTTTATCCTCTGTAGATGTATGTGCAGCTTACAGGTATCTTTGAGGTTTGCATTAATGAGTGTGGTATCTTTTCTTCATTGTTTCTGACCCCTTTTTCCCCAAATATTTGAAGAGAAATTGATTATATTCCATTATATACTCCCTTGGGTGTGATAATTGCCCTTGACTGTATTCGTTTAGGAATCTGTCCCCTCTTTGTTCCAGTTCCCAAACCCCTGTTTAATGTGGGGACAGAGCAGAGATTTATGACTTTGCAGCCCCAATCAGAACAGGTGAACAGGGGGCATATGTTGTTCCCCACACCCTGTCTTGTAGAAGACACGGCTGAAATTCAAAATGGGCATTTGATGTCCTAGTCTAGTGCTTTATCCCCCCCTCAATTCAAAGATGGTGGCCTATGCACCTCCCTTGTTTGCTATAGCTTCCTTAAGGGCTTTGCTAACTTTACCCTGAAATATATTCCTACAGACTGCTTATGTTATTCTGAGCCAATTAAATAAAAACAATGTTAAAATTTGTCTTTCCTTGCAGAGCAGCCACTGAGCAATTTATCCTACAGCGCTAGCAAGGGCTGCTTTGGGAGCCGACTTCAGTGCAACAAGGAGCACTTATTGTGCCCATGAAGAACTGATCCCACCAGAGCACGCACCAAGACACACAACAGACACAAACTACTCTTTGCAAGGCATTTTGGACCAGAGGCAGGGATTTAGGGAGGCATCTATATAGATTGTCAGGGTCTTGCAATAATTTGAATAGTTTGAGGTAGCAGGCGTTGAACAAAGTATTCCTGGCAGTGCTTTGATAGCTGAAATTTGTGTGATGAAGCTAAGAGTGTTGGAGACATGTTTGTATCAGTTGTAGGAATAAATGTGGCAGTAGATTTTGATATAAGAAGCTGCTTGTAAGCTACTATTGAGGCCTGATCTATGCAGCAGGCAGCTTGCAGAGAGGTGATGGTGACATGCAGTGTATTGGTTGCTCCATGGCATTGGACATTGGTTAATTATTGACTAGATGATTAATGTGAAGAGGAATAAAAGATGTGTTTTGGTACCATAAAACTTAGGGAACAGCCAGAAACATTACTGAAGCTCTTGTCTTATTGTCATGAGAATGTGAAGGATTCATTGTTTCACAGAGCAAATAATATGTCTTTTCACACAACAGGTAATAAACAAAGATGAGAGAGAAAGATCTTTATGTCTCAGTGGGCTGCGTTCATGGTCAAATTGCATCACATGAAAGAAGGCAGAAATCAGAGCAGGAGTTTCAGGAACATTTGAATAAAATCCAAAAACTCAGTGAAGGGGTACAACCAAGGATAGTCCTAAACCAAGGCCAGATCTCAAATTAATGTTCCTAGCAATGTAGAGGGCTGTCATGATATTTTATTCTATTCTGCTTCTGACAGAAGAACAAGAATTACTGCAGGAAGGAAAGTTCAATTTATATTGCCAAACAGTCTCCCAAACAGTAGGACTGAGACCTAAATCCTTAGATTTCTTTGGTTTTGTATATTTGATGGTTTCTAGTTCTTCAGCAGTAACTTGCTTTG